GAAAACCAGGGGGGTGGCAGGGGTGGAAGGGGTGGAAGGAGTGGAAGGAGTGGAAGGAGTGGAAGGAGTGGAAGGAGTGGAAGGAGTGGAAGAAGTAGAGGACTACGGGAGATCTGGAATTGAAATAAAAAAAAAAGGAAAGGTGAAAATGTGACAACGAAATATCGAATAAACGATGAATGCATAAATACGAGATTTTAACGATGGGTTAGGCTCTTAGTCCCGATGGAATATCGAGTCCCGAGTGAAGGTGGAAATAATGCAAATTAACAGGTAGCCAAGGAAATGAAAATGTCACTGTATATTTAACGTACATAAATCCGTGCACATAGACGTAAACCAACGTCATTTTCTGCCACTCTCTCTCTCACTATCCCTCTGCCTTCATCTCTCATATAGTTTTGTCCGGTACAGCTATAAATGCACATATATACGTGGAACAGTAGCTTCAGTGCATTCTCTGGTGGAGTAACGTATGCAAATTCTCTCCACGGATATATTCAGAACGACCACTGGTTGGCCACATGCGGGACGAGTAAAGTGGGATGGAGAAAGGGCTGGAGGGATGAGGGCTGGACGTTATAAAATTTAAATGAGCCGCGAATTACCGACGCGTTTCGCACCCGGCTCTATCTGTCCGTAAATCGACAACGGTGAAACGTATTCCCGAGCTCCAGAGACCTCAAAATCATTCAACTCCGACAGCCCTATTTTCCTCTTGATTTTTTCCCTTTTTTTTTCTTTTATTTCTTTCCAAGGGCTCGCTGCACCCACATCCCCGCATTTTCGAGGCATAATTTATTCAAATTTCACCTCTGCGTTTTCATTAATTATGGAGTTCTGTCCAGAAAGTTGGCGGTGAATTCCACGGGCAGAATGGAAACGGTGGGATTATTCTGGGGGATTTTTTATCGTTATTTTCAAAAGTACTTTTGAAATTTTACCGTGAAATGCGTTTTTTTATATTGGAATGATAATTGGAGGGAATTACTCGGGCGTTTACCTGTGGTTGGCGATCATTTTTCTGATGTCGTGGGTAATTTTATTAATGCTGTTTAATTTAACAATTTGGGGAATTATAATTAAGGAGGATGCACTCGCGCATGTTGCTTTCGGTGGAGATAATTTGAAAGTTGAATAATATTTGGGTAGATGAAATTTTTGTAAGTTTACTCTGTGGCATTTGATGGACGTTGGAATCCTCAATGTGAATTCTTTCCCAACTCGCGGGATATTCATTTCAATTAAAACCAATTAAGAGATTAAATTCAGATTTACTTTGAATGAACTCGATTGTTGTCTCTTCGGAGTTACAGCGGGAATTGAATTACATCGAGTGATTTAATTCGCCCACTCCGAGTTGGATTTAAGTCGTTGATATCAAAGGGATGGGAGGAAAAAAGAGAAGCTGGACGGAGTAAGTGGATCTCTTTCGAAAGGTTAGTGAAGTTGCGGACTGCTTTCGTCCGACTGTAACACTCGATCTACCAATCGTTAACCTTTCAACGTGAAATCCTCTTTTACTCGAGAACTGATCCCCTCAATCTGTCTTGACGACACCGGAAGTTGCTTCAAGTTGATCCACGCAAAATGAGTTCAACCGACAAATTGCACGGTTAGAAATTTTTTTTCTATTCCAACCGCAACGTCGCTTGAATGTTCAATTACAGGAGTTTCAATTCATTTTTTCAAGAAAATTTTCACAGCAGTCACTAGAATTTTCCATTGGAAAAAAATGTGGGCAATGGATGAATTTCGGTTCATTCCAAATAGCTCATCCACCCCTCGAATAGCAGAAGAGATTCAAGCAATTCAATTAATTGTAAATAATTGGGGAATAGCTGGAATTGTCGATTTACGTAAATGGTTCATTGACGGCAAAGGGCCTGATAATATTGCTTGGAAAGGTAGTACGATTCACTGATTGCGGAGAATATTCCAATGTTCCTCAAATGAGTTATGCATTATGCGTATCTCTATCTCTCTCTGGTGGGTGGTGGGTTGGAGTTGATGGGTGAGGGGTTGAACGAGGGGTTAGCGGAGGTAAAACGGATTGTACAAAGTGGACGTTGAAATTGGAATCGTGGTATAATCCGGAACTTGGTGCACCAGGGGGTGGCCGCGGGGAACTTTTTCCATTACGTCAGACGAAACTGATTAGATTCTCTGAATGGACAACTCCGAGGCTTCTGTGAAATCCTTGGGGAATAACTATAATATTATACGTTACCTGGGATAACTTCAGTCGTGATACTCAGCCACTGCTTCCCTGTTGCTCCTGTTTTCCCTGAGACGCTTTTGGCGAGTTGTTACTCTGAATGAAATGGTAATCTTGAAGAGTTCTTTGAAGAATTTCGAGGACAAACACTGCGGGATATTTTATTACGTTTATCAAACGAAACGAGAGAGTTATCCGCAACAGATCGATTTTCATCAGCGATAAGTCGATAACCGCTGAGTGAAATATCTCTCATTTTAGTTTATTTTGTAGATATTTTTAACAGCTTTCAAATGAGACGTGATTTGGAGAAATTGAATCGTCCAGTCTCGGGATATTCAGGCAGAAATAATACCGGGCTTATGGAGCTCTTGTAATAGGTTAATGGATAAGTTTCTTTTGCTCGTTCGGGCATTAAAAATTCAACGTAAATATATACCAAAATCTCCCTCTATTTATCCGTCAAAGACTATTTGCATTTGAAACGTGGGATTGCTCTGCCGGAAGGAGTAGGTTCCTCCTCAAGATGGGAGGGGTCTGGGAGTGGGACTGCTGGAAAAACAAACCCTTCGATGCGAATGGTTTAAAGTGATATCTTTTCGGAACTCCTTCCCCTGGATAAAGATGCTCTTCACCTTATATTAATAATATTATACAGATAAAAAAAAATTAGAATAAATTCCCCGCACACTAAATTTCTACGGACAATTATTATTCCTCAACCTTCGGGAAAATTCCTTAAATATCTAAATACTTAATCTCAATTTTTTTTCAAAAACGCGAAGAGTTCTTTTTTTTTTCTTTGGAGGTCTGGGTATTTTATTTAATATTTCGTTTTGCGAATTTCGTATTAATTCGGCTGTTCGATATATTCATCAAATAGTCAAGCAGTTCAATGCAATAAATTCCACGAAATTTCTCATCTTCTTTATTTTATCAGGCAACGAGAAACTATTCGCGAACGGTTAAAGTGGAGAACTGAAACCGAAGAAGAAAATCGTCCACTGGGCTTTATCGTTTCGTGGCATTGGGTACAAACCGTACGTGAGTTTGAAAAACCATGTGGGTTACACTGAAAGTGCACCAATTTGGATAAACTCTCGACCCTTTTTCCCCGCGTGTAAAACTCAACCTTCAAGATCGTACCTTACGATAACAATTTTCCACTCCCGTTTTTTCGCCCGTTTTATTTGTCCTGAGCAGCTTTTCCCATTCTAGTCGACAGAATTTTCTGCCTCTCCAACTGAATTCTATTTAATTTACATGTGTTACACGTTTCTGGAAAATTAAAAAAATTTCCAGCACTCATAATTGACTATTAGAAAAATTCATAATAAAATCTGAAATCAATGAATTCATTTCTTTGATTTAATTTATTCATTGAAAAACGTAAAAATTTTGAATTCCGTAAAATTATTATATGTGTAACTTCCCGGGTAAAAAAAATGTAATAGGAATATTTTTTCCAAATTTTCAAAAAAAAATCGGAACACAAAACAATTTTTTTTTTTGGAAAGGTTTTGAAAAATTTTTCAAAAATTTAAATGGGATTTTTTTTTAATAATTTTTTGAGAATATCGAAAAATAAAAAAAGTAAGAAAAGAGGAGTATAATTTAAAAAAAATTATATTCACAAAAATTTTTTGAAAATTTGGAAAAAATATTCCGATTGCAATTTTTTTCCCCGGATTTTTTTCCGCGGAAATCGAGGGAAATCCGAAAAATTTCCCCGATAAATTCACGGTAATGCAGTACCAAGAAAACCCTTGAATGATTACTCCGACTGTTGTCTCAGATGATAATGAATCGTATAATTTTGGAAATGCCGAGAAATCCACCCCATAATGAAAATGAACTGATTGCTTGTCACATTCAGGTATCATCATCCCATAAATCCAACGGGTTATCGATTTCACGTGAAATTGCGAGGTACAATTTACAACTCAAGTCGCCAACTCTTGGGTGACACTGTACCACCTCGGGTATTTACGTTCACCCACCATACGTACATGTTATTCACCCACTGGTACGAGAGTAATGCACCAACACAGAATACCGCACGTGCGAGTTTACGGCACCCCGTTCACCCCTTAGCCCCCCCTTACCCTTAGAGTATGTACCAACACCATCTCCGGACGCGATAATAATTTCTAGGCCTCTGCACTCCTCCGACTAGCCCAGACTATACCTTTCCATGAACAAAGAGCAAGTACTCGAGCGGTATAACGCATTACGCCATTTTGCGCGGGCATCTCAGGTGGAGTGGACCACAGCGAAAAAAAATTGCAAATTGAAAATTATTCTGAAATCAACGGAGAAAAATCTCCATCAAGAATACGATCTAAATATGATAGGAATATGTTTTTAATAATTTCAAGATGAATTATAAAAATTTGTCTTCGATGCATTTTGAATGTTTGAAGTTTATTTAAATAAACATTCAGGTGCAGGAATGAATAGAAATTTTGGGAATTCCAAACCGCGAAAGAAATTTATGAGGAAATTTCTGGTGGAGAGCGTCAGCGATTGGGGACGTTATTTTAAAAAATTCAGACGTTATTGGGAATTTTTGTTTTCTTGTCCTCGACCGGAGTAATTGAAACCAGAAAATAAACTCAATGAGGCGTTAATTCTTTGTTGATTCACAATAATAATTGGTGAATGGGGCAATCCTCTTGTTTGTTAAATACAATATGTGAAAACAATTGCGTGGAGAAAAATAAATTCCGATCGAATAGAATCTGCTGTCACGTGGTTGAGTTAATCCCATATAAAGACGATTATTTCGAGAATTAATCGTTCGTATCGATTCGACTCTGTACAGCAAGAGTAATTCAGTCATCATGAAGATTTTTTCAATCGTAACTTTCGTTGTAATGCTGATTGCAGTTGTTAGTGGACAGCCTGGTTGTGGAGGACGTGGACGTCGGGTTAGTTAATTATTGATTATTTAATTACAAGTATTTTTCCGAAACGATTGAGAAATTTTGACAATTTTTTAAAAAATAATTTCCCTTCGATTCCAGTGCCGATTACATCATGAGTGTTGTGGAAGCCTTCTTTGTCGTAGCAGAAGATGTCAATAAATTAAAATCTAATCAATTTTACCCAATGTCTACTTTGGAATGAGATGCAGACTGGAAAGTCCATTATCCAACGGCCCATGATTGTTTTATGTGCGAACTCCATTACTACAATTAATATTTAATTATTATAATTACTAGTTTGTTGAAATATTTCCATCCATTGGCCCATGGAAATATCCATGCAAATCCATAATTAATTAAAAATTAATTGATGTAATTCATCGTTTTAGTTGTCACTTGAAATTTTGAAAATGTAATTGAAATTAATTGTAATTGAAAAGTTCAACTTTGTATGCGTTAAAATACATTAAAAATACAAAAAACTGATAAGATATTGATTCTCTGTTGACACACCGCGATGAACTGCTTGGGGTATTTTAATCTGCTCGATGCAGCATGCGAAAATATTTACACTGAAAAAATAAACATTGCAGAAATGTTCGAGACTCTGTTCTCGTATAAAAGCAATAAAATTCACCTGCCGTTGCCTGCGGTGAAATTCAGGTCTGCGTCATGAAGTTCTTATCAATTTTCATGTTCTTCGTAATGCTGACTGCTGCTGTCACAGAACACCATTTTTTCAAGGGATAATTAATAAAAATTAATAATTGATAAAAAGATCCACAATATTCTGATAAAGAATTTTAAAATTGTGATAAAATGTTGATACACATTAATAAATTTAATGGTAAATATTTTTATCTGTTTGATGAAATATGAGAGAACATTTTGAAAAGGAAAGATAAATCTTGGTGGAATAAATATTGTCCACTTGTGGGAGACTTGGTCCTTATATAAAGACGATCACTCTGACCACTCAGCACTGATTTTAAAATTCGTTGAGAAGTCTAAGGAAAAGTTTTTATTGCATCATGAAAATTCTATCAATTGTGACTTTCATCGTAATGCTGATTGCAGCTGTCAGCGGACAATGTCGAAGACGCGGTCGTCGGGTTCGTTTACAAATTGTTTAAATAAATTCTCTGTGCAGAAATGATAATTATCATTTTTCAAATGTAATTTATTTAATTACAGTGTCAATTCCATCACCAGTGTTGTGCAAGGTTACTTTGCCGCGGAGGAGCTTGTATGTGAAAATTCGCATGTGCGTAATAATTCTCATTTTTCCGGAAATAATTGCCGAATCTGCACGGAGAAAAATTTACAGCCGAATTTCCTCTGGTGTTTTGATAAAAAAAAAATATGACGCCTTCAGCAAAAATTAACAAACGTCACTGCAAATTTTACAACAAATTTTTCGCGGTGTATTACGCGAATTAAAGTAATTGACTCCCAATTATTTTTCCGTCAACAACAGGAACATTTTGACGATTTGCATACACTGCAGTAAATCAATGTTTCAATAATTGTTTATATAAATATAATTACAATAATGTCTAATTATTTTCTACTCTTCACATGAATGCTTGCAAAAGAAATATATTTTATTCATCTAGTTTCTTTGGAACTGTCTCACCGCCAGAACCTCCAGATCTTTCCAATTTTTTTTAAACAAAAAACATGTATTTACGTTTTCTGTTATTAAAAATATACTGAACATGATGGAGTGGCTTCGACCCTTTATCAGTTAAGGCAACATGTCAAAACATTTGCATGAGGAAAAATAAACTTGAGATAAGACTTGCGAATACGTAGAGACGGTTGTCGTATAAAAACGATCTCTCCGAGCACTTGTCACTGGCATTAAAATTTATCCTCCGTGAATAACAAACAATTTATAAAATTAATCATGAAGTTTATCGCTATTCTAACTTTCGTGGCGATGCTGATTGCTGCTGCCAATGCTCAAGGCTGTGCTGCAACGGGACGTCCGGTTAGTTGACAGAATTATTTTAAAATAATTCCCTGAAATTTCCTGAAAAATCGGACAGCGATTCTCACGAGAGAAACGTTGAATCCCATTCAAGCCGAAAGAGTTATGCAAATTACGAAATTAAGGAAATTTATGGGTCTCTGGTACGAGCGGAGAGTGAGATGAAAATTTTATAGTTTAAATTGCATTTTCAATGAACAATGAATATTCAGGATTAAAACGAAATTGTTTTACAAATTATCCGGTATTTTCGGAATTTTCCATCATTTTCGCTTGATCATGGAATAACAAAATTCAATCGACGTCTCAGTGGTCGGGGAATCGTTATCATTTTATTCAATAAAATGATTGTTCACTATTTGAAGACTCTGAATTATATTTTCAATGAGAATTGGGTAATTACAGTGCATACGCCATTCAACTTGTTGCGGAATACTAGTTTGTCGTCAAGGAAAATGTGCTCGTTGTAAGTAAAGAAAAATCCGCTTGTCTGACGAAATGAAGAAATGATATTATTTTCTTTTTCCCCTAGAACTGAAAGATCCTAAGGAAATAGACAACTTACCTCGAACTGAAAATAGCGCAGAGTCCGTGGACGAATATTTGCAGATAAAAAATGTACAAAAATCGATAAAATAATTTGTATAATAAATTAAATATTATAAAATTATTAATATGCAATATTAATTCCCATCGAGTGACCGTTTGCAATTGAAATTCAAAATGACTGCGCGTGAAATTCCGCGAATTTTCGAATTTCTTCAATTCCCTGAAATTGAATGTCCCGCAAAGAAGGCAAATGCGTTAAAAAAAAATCCATGTAATCCCCGCATCAGCGAGAAAGCCACACTAATTTCCAATGTACTCACAATTCCCCGGGTATCTCAACTTTTTCCACGTCACATGGTAGACGTAGTGCACGTCCTGGTGATACACCAGTTTTACACGTTTCACGAAAGTGGATGAGCAAGAAGCTGACTGTGGAAAAGTTGAGGGGGAAACCCCGGAGTTCATCCACCAGAAGTTTTACGAGATGCTCTGGCCGATGAAATGATCAACCTACCGCCGAGGATATTTCAGGTACGGCTGGTAATATGTATAAAATCTCTCGTACACCCCTTCGACGGTACCATCTGCACTCAGTGGTGAGGTAAAAGGGCTCTCCTCCAGTAGTCAAGACGAGCATTTTGCAAATTACGAGTGAAACTGCAACCATCTCCACCTTCTGGATGGGTATCTCCACGTGCAGGTTGTAAATGTAAGACGATGGGTGGAGAGAAGCATGTCGAGGTACTGCACAACGTGTGACTGCACAAAGCACGTACTCAAGTCCTGTGACTTTGTATCCAGTACAAAGGAGTGAGGTGGATGCAAAGTTGCTGGATCTCCAGGAGTTTGTAGTGCATTTACATGACAGATACAGCGCCTTCTGGAGCTATAAAGGGCAACCGTCCAACGTCTTGTTCGCGCCCTCTTCAGACCCTCGTCAGACCACAGCTTCTTCAATCTGCAGCTGACAGTTGCACTGATGATGCCCTGGAGCTGGTCTCTACTCAGTGAGCTGACACACTAATTTCCGCAATCATATCTAACGTAATCCAACGTAATCCAGCGTAATCCAACCAATAATTCACTTAATTTTTATTTATTTGGCTCAATTGCACTGGAAAAAATTCTGGAAAAATTCTTCAGGGATTTCATAAGCCATGAGAAATCATTATTGGAAATGAAAAATCACTTGATTATCAGGAATTTCCAGGGATTTCCAGGGATTTCCAGGGATTTCCAGTGATTTAGTCGTGAATTTCCAGGCGATTGGCTCAGGGATTTCCTAAGTGACCGCCCCTTTGGGTTGTGCAATCGATAGGCCGCGGTATTCTGTTCATTTCCGTCAAAGAGATTCGCCTCGAGCAATATTTATGAATTATAGACGGGGGACAACATTGTTATAGTAATTACGGAGGTAATTCCACTCGATAAATTGGGGACAGGATTTGTTCTTTTACGAATTTAATTAAATACAGGGACTGCCTCTCATTAGCATAATTAACCAGAAAAACTTTGCGTGAATCCAGCTGGATTTCCCCGGTGCCGCAGGGGATGCTAAGCCGATGAGCCGATTTACCGCTCTAACTCGAGAGATCACAGACGTAACCGAGATATCATAATGAGCTCCGCAGAAAATAGCGAAAAAAAAAATATGAAGAACTCAGAGGGGGATATGTCAGAATTTCGGGGACGTCTGGTGATAATTTCTCCAGCAGAAATCCGATTTTATTCAGCGAAATCTGTGGCATTTGAATTTCCAGGAGAAAGAGGATTGTGTAATTCAATTTTAGATTGAAATAGACAGTCTGCATAAAAAAAAATCTAGGCTATTAATTTTTTCTGTCTTTTTTTTTTCATTGGAAGGAAAATTGGACATTTTTCTGTCACCAGGAAAATGGAAAATCGGTGTGATTTCTATTGGATATCGCTGATCGATACCGGAATGCATTGAATATTAAATTTACCTGATAAATGTATGACTCGTTCTTTTCGTTAATTAATTAAAAAAATTGTGATGAAGTTACTAGAATAGGAGAATTTTCAATGAAAAGGCGGTGAAAAATTTTCGTGGATGTTTTAAAAAAGTAAACAAAAGAGAAAATTCACGGGAAACGCAATAAACTTTCTGGTGGATTTTCTGGGCTCTGAATTTCATGGGGAAAAATATGAGCCTTAAAAAAAAATTGGTGAATGAAATTCGTTACACTACGGAAAATAGAACAATAGTTTTGGTCCTCCCTTTAGGGTGAAATCCGGGAGGAGTATAACCGCATTGTACGCCAAGTATTATAATCTCGAATATTATACTCCGCCAATCCTTTGGTTTGGTTTTCCCTGCAACAATTCAGGGGAGAAATCCGTTTGGAATTCTGACTACATCCAAATGCCAAATAGATACACGGAAAACCGCGAGACCCCCCACGATGGTCATTAAATTGGAAAATTATTGCAGACACAGTGGATGCCTCTGAATTGCGCCCACCACAGTTATTCATCAATTCATTAAATGGATTGATAACGCGATATCTCATTCCGGTCAATTTCCCTAATTGTCGCCATTGCATTACCTCTTGGGGAGATCACAACGCACTGTAGGGAAAAGTATTTAATTGCTGGAAACTCATTTTCAAAAATATTCGTGTTTCACTGGGGTTCATTCATCGGGAGGGAGAGGGTAATTGAACAGTTATTGTCACAATATCTCCCGGGTGAATTAATAAACATCAGCATCGCGTTCAATGGAATTGAATTTTTGATAATTTACACGTAAAAAAAAAACGTAAAATTTGAAATAACAAAAAATTGAAAATGAATGTAAAACAATTAAAGATAAAAAAATTGCAGTAATAATCGACGGGGATTTTTCGGATAAACTAATTAATTTATTAAAAATAATTGAAAGTTGTTGAGGTCTCGCATTTATTGTAGATTCAACAGTTGATTTCAGTTTCTTCTCTTTTTCTCAAGAAAAACGGATTCTTGAGCACTATCGTCTGATACATTCATTGGAAAAAGCCCAGGAGTATTACCCACTCCCGAATGAATCGAATCAATTACTCTATCGGATTTCTGTCTTCTCCGTGCACTCGAGAAATCCACGATAAGTCATGAATCACAGGGCAAAATACACTGGAGCATTTCCACCTGGGAGGCATGATACAAACAGCCTTCAAAGCAGCGTTAGAGAGTATCACAAGAAAACTCTCAACAGCTGTCTGAAGTGCTCCACGTCAAAACACTCCTGATTTCACACCCATCCCGTAAACCTACCTTTTCCGAGCGTCACCTATCCAACCCGGGGAATGAAAGAAGCCCTTTTCCAAGGACCAAGTGATTTTTCTCGTCTCTCGAGTTCAAAGTCTGGATTTGGACAGAGCACAGGGTTCGGATAACTGCATTTCGTTGACCCCAGAATTTATTTTTATGTGTAGAAGAAAATCTCAGACTTCTTTCATGTTTAAAAATATATTTTTGTCACTTTCCTTTCTATTTAATTGAAAAAAAAAATTTAATCGGAATATTTTTTTCCAAAACATTTCGCGAAACCTTTTCGGAAAATTTTTCTTTTAAAACGAAAAAAAAATCGGGAAACAAGACAATTTTATTTTTGGGAAACGTTTTCAAAAATTTTTCAAAACCTTTCCCAAAAATGGAATTGTTTAGTCTTCCGATTTGTTTTGTTTCATAAAAAAAATGATCTGAAAAGTTTTCCCGAAATTTTTTGAAAACAGAAAAATATTCCGCTAAAATTTTTTTTTACCCGGGTACCCGCGGGCTCTTCCGCGATTCATACCAGGCTCTGGAATTTATTTTCCAGTGTAAAGTACCACTCAGTCTTCCCCGCTGTTAAAATAAATTATTTACAAATTCCCTTTCTATTTAATTAACAATTGACTCTAACATTCACATCAGGACATTAAAAAAATTGCGCAGTCTTTTTTTCAACAGAGGATAATCCCTGTACACTTGCTTTTAATTTAATTGATAATTCCTCCTCGGGACTGAGACAAATGAGATGAATCGCCTAGAATCTGCCATGGTCTTAATTTTGAGAACATTATCGTTCCTCCAGGGATTTATCCTGGCGTTCTCCCTCAGTTTTTCGCTCGAATGCTTAATATCGACTCCCAATATATATCCCAACAGCAAAAACATAAACTCCCCTTCCCAAAGGATTGATTCATCAGCATTACCTGAAGGCATCAGTCCATGCGAGTGCTGAACACCTCCTGAAAAATTAAAACACGCATTCACAACACGTATACCAGTTTGAGTGCCGGTTTTCGTATTGGTGGGAATTGAAAGGAGATTTTCTAGTGGATAAGGTACGTCCTGGCAAGACCAGGACTGCCCTTTGTCCCCTCCACACCCATCTCGAAAGGCTGCACTTGTGCCAAATGAAATTTACATTATAGAGAGCGATGTCTCCGGTCTTCAGGGAATTCACTGAGGATTCACAGGGTTTGTGGGGCAAAGTGCAGCAGGACACAAGAACAAATAAGGAAATGGGGAAAATCTAATTTCCCTAATGTCCTCTTTTGTTTCGGAATTTGATGCTCAATGACAAATAAATTAGCCAGTACATACGTCCTTAGAACTGAAAGCAATTCGACTATTTCCTTTTGTTTCTCCATTTTTTTTTCAATATTTTTAATAAATAAATAAATATTCACCGCGAAATTGCACTCAATCTCCATTTAAACATTTAATTTTTTATAATTTTACATGAAAAAGTGGGGCTGATATTTACAATTGTCAGTAAACAATTTGACAAATTGAAAATTAATTGTTTGAACCAGAAATAATTGTTCTCAGGACATATTACAATCTAGTCTGCAAATATTGATTTATCTCTGGAATTATATGAGATAATTTCAGAAAAGTAAATAATGTTAACCGATAATGGTAGATAAAAATAATTAACAGATCTCGAAGCTAGTTAACCAAGTGGGGAATTAATTCCAGTTACAAGCGGTTCATTCCAGAAATCTCTCTAAAAAACGCTCAAACGCTTTTGAATGAATAACAAAGACCCCAATTCGCCGGAAATAAAATAGAAATGAATGAAAAGTAATTGAAGAAGGGAGGGATACCCTCGACACACGCAGCCTTAATTCCAGGAGGGCAGATGAGTTCGGGTGAGCGTTAAAAATATTTTAATATTATGCAAATGTGATTAAACGCATTTCGCCAGGCTCTGGCCACTGCTGAAAAGAGAAAGAGAAAAGACTTTCAACTCATCCCCCTCATTTCTTCTTTTTACTTTCTTTATTCAACTCATTTTTCCTTCTTTTTTTAACCACCCTGGAGTATCCCCAGTGGTGTACCTCAGTACTTGGATAATATTTTTCCAGGGGAAAATGTACCTATCGGGTACTGCGGACGTTGAGGGAATTTCTCCTCAACTTCAGTTATTTAATTAATACTTCTCCTGTTTATTCAATTGTTCAATTCCTTCACTGGCAATCTCCAGTTATCGATGAGTAAACAATTCCGTTTTCCCGCGGAAATTTATGAGTACTAAAAATCGATGATTGATTATTATTCATTCATCAATTGGCAATGATCCCAATTTTCCATATAATATGGGAATTGAAAATAATATAGACTTTTTTTTGTTTCATAAAAAAAAATTCGGAAAAGTTTTCCAGCAACTTTTTGAAAATTTAAATAGGACAATTTTTCTTCATAATTTAAATGGCGTATTTTCTAATAAATATTTCTATTTCTAATAAATATTCCGATAAAATTTTTTTTTACCCGTGTAAATAATTCCTAAATAATTGATTTATAAATTTTATTCGTTAGAACACAGAAAAATCCCATGTATTTAAATAGTAATTGTAATTATTGAATTCACCCAGCGACAATCTCGACTTATCGACAAATTAAAATCCTCCATTTTGCCCCACTCCACAGATATTTGAAAAACAATTTGAGAATGGATGAGGCGGGATTATTGCCTCTCATTTGCATGTGCATTGAACTCTTCACGCGCCATCAATATGTAAAAAAAGACAACTAAATCACAGCCACTGATCGAAATGTTACCGAGTCCATTAAAGCCTCGGTACATCCGAGTTTTCCGCAGCCAATGGAAAAATATGCAACAACTACTCTCATCGTTCACCGGTTCAACTTTTTTCATGCCAGTGACCCGCTGTCCCAATTCGATCGCCCACGAATTATCGGTTATTTATTTATCCCCATTGGTTGTTCAATTTTTTTTTATCGAAACGCTTTCCGACGATTCCAGGTCCCTCGTCCCATCGTAAAAAGGGAAGACCTTTTCCTTTTTCCGGTACGAGACGCTGTGAATATTCGACGCGCGGAATTTTTAATCCCGAAGTTATGCTTGGGTTATTTTTGCGGAAAATTATTTGTGTTATTCCGACGCGGCATTTATCCACTTGCCGGGAGATTAATATTATCATTGAGAATTTTTTAGTTGAGGTGGGGATGAATTCTTGAGCGGAAGTCTCACGGGAATTCCCTCGTTCCATTGAGTTCCTACAGAGAAATTATTTATTTTTGATTGAATTTTCCTCGAGAGAAGTACTCCAGGTATTTAACCCAATTCAACGATTAAATTGTCGCAAAAAAATTATTCAATCCATACAAACAATTTTTCCATGGATCACTCGTTTTTAATCCCACAATTCCGGAGTTCAAAATAATAATTCACATAAAACCGATTTCACGCAGCGATTCATGAGCTATTCCACCCCCGAAGTCCAGAGTACTCCGCAAATAAATTGAAGATAATCACTCGAATATTCATTGCACGACAAAACAATAAAATCCCCCAAAGCAATTTCATATAATAATTTTCCATTTTTCAATTTCAGGTGAGTACTAAAAAGCACTGCAAAACCGGAGCGTCAAAACATCTGGAGATCATGAGTGAGTAAATGCAAACACAAATCCCTAGTGCTGATTATGTAATAATCCATGCACAAACTCTCGGTACATTGGAATGGGTGAGAGGATTTTGTTGGGAGGATGAGGGGAGGATGCAGCGGTTGAATAAACGCGCAGTGATGATGAGTATTCCAGCCCAAGACCAGCAATTGGCACCGTCGAAATATCTGGGTATAAACGATGCAAGGTATAACCCACAGGGATGAGGTAGGGGTGTAATACTCGGTACACGCACATACCCCCTAATACCAGGGGGCAACGGGAATAGGGGTTGAGAACCCACAACCTAATATCGGTTGGTGGTTCATTAAAGCCATTCCACGGAATGCGCGTGCGTTCGTACACAGGATATTAGAATTGCCGACATTGTGCCGGGGGTTGTTGTGTGGACACTCAATCACGGATATTGTGCATGAGTGTCACATTACGATAGGAGGAGGTCTCATAAGTACCGAGGATTTTACGAATATTGCATCTGAAATCCACTGCATTACCGATCTACCACCCTCAACCCTCTCACCCCAACCCATTCTGATTTCCAATCGTTTTATGCATGAGTTCCACTGCATTTTGGGGGATGAGATAATGAGTAATCGGTATTCACCTCCGGGTTGACTTTGTAATCCCCGGTTTAGGTTGTTTAGGAAGTGTTGATTAATTCGGTGGTAGGGAGGGGGGTTGTTCGATTCCGTGGAAAGTTGGGGGAAATTTTAAATGCGTAAAATCCACTAGTTTCTCTGTATAGTTTTGGCTCATCATTTGATAAAGCTGAAATGTATTATTTCCCCTGAAGGAACGAGCTTCAACGATAACCCCGAAGACTCGAGAATTTCCCTGGCGATCTGAATACCCTCATCACTTACCATTTCCTTATCGTATCGCGAGTAATTCAATTTTTCTCGTTCTCCACCCTTCAACCCCCCCCAACATTCCACGCTATCTCCAGCCCCATTCTATTTTCATCACTAAAATTATTTTTCAATCTTTCACGGAATATTCCTTTAATACATTTTGCAATCTAATATCATCTCGGGTAAAGTGGGAGAAAAAAGGGGTGGCGAGGGAAATAACACCGGAAACATTCAGCATTTTCTGGGTTGAGGCAATAATAAATTTTACTCAACCCCTGGTGTTTCAGCTCCTCGGGAAATCAACTTTTCAGGGGAATCGAAACTATCGACGAACAATTCAAGAGAATTTTCGAGAATTTGGGGATGGGGTTTGAGTATATAAACGCTGTTTAGGTGGGGGGGTGGGTGGTAACCGCGGGGGTTGGGAAATTTCTCGGAGATGGCGATTCCCGTGGGAGTGCCGCAATTGCGTGCTCCATCGATCACGACTGGGGTACTATCAATAGCGGACGCGTGTCCCCTTTCGAACTTTTGTCCGTGATTCGGAAAATAAATTTTCGGGATATTATATTGGATTGTCGATTCCCGCGATGGGGTGCCACCGAATTTTCCGGGGTCTCGTGATTCGGTGGTTGTGCGGAGTTTTTAATGGATTGGGGCTTCGATGGGGCTTACTGATAAGAAAGATACTGCCTGGGGGTGTCGATGAAAGGGTGGGACAGACGAATTCCAAGTGTTCAGGGGTTTTCACTCCGGTGGTAATTTTTTAATGGACATCCCCGTCACACCCCGCGGATTCACTGGAAAATTTACTCCTGCGTTGTAATGGAAATACTAATAAAACTTTAATTAAAATATTAATGTTCTATTGTATTTTTACGGGAAATATTGTAGACGTAAAAAATTTAATAGATTGAAAATAACAATAAATATAGTGTGAAAATGGGTAGTAAACATTCCGGAAAATTGGACAAATGGAAAATGCGTGGAATACGAATTTCCGGTGGAAAATGGCGATTATTTTCCCGATTTAAGTGATGAATATTCATATTTCGAATATTGACAATCCATACTAAATTTTTCAATTCTCATAATTCCTCATTACGTAATTATTCGCCAATGACTCAAAGAAAAATCAATCTCATTCCAAAAATCGATGATTTCACTCAATTAAATTCAATTTCTCGTCAGCTGAAATTCCGTCTGCTCCCCAAAAAATAAAAACCAATATTTATCTCATCTGATGAAGGGAAAAATCGAAAAATATTCGTACCCAGAATCAGTAAAATCGTCTCACTTAGGAATACTCATTACCACATGGATTTACGATGGTGTCAAAATGCATTATGCGGTGCACAAGCCGCATAATGCATTCGCCTCATAACAGGCATGCACAAGTGCATTCGAAGAGTGAGAAAATATACCCCGAGATTTTTCACCGGTAATTTTTCTCGGTGCACTGAATTCATTTTCCGATAATTTTGATAAATATTGTTTCAATCGAAAAAATTCTGGTGAAACAGGGGATTGAGGTGTCCCAGGTGGATGAAATAACCGATGGACTCTGATACGGTTTTGGTGCCTAGTCAAATAATAATAAGCAATCAAGCACGCACGAACGAATCGATATTCCGCTTTTGATCGGCTCACGTGGGGACTGGTTTATTGCCACCCGGGAGAATTGCAGTTTATATGTCGTATAAATTTTTATCCACCACCCACTCACTCAGCCTTCGCATTTTTCTGTTATAACATATCGTTGAGTGTTCTTTCCACGCGTTTCTACATTTTTAATATCACATTTCCACACGTTTCACCTCTTCTTTATTATTATTCACATATACATCACAATACCGCTGACTTTTTTATGGATGTTCTGTCCAACTAATGAAAACGAAATATTCATTCCAGGAATGAACGCGAAAATTGCACATTGATACGTTCAACATTTTATTAGATTCATAAAAATAATTGATTTTTGTTAATTGAATTTTTAGGTGGATAGAAATTTTTACTACTCACCTTTTTTTTTAATTAAGTATTCTCGGGTTTATGATGCACTTTTCGCTGGTTTTATTAATTCTATAAAAATTGACCGAATACATATATTCACAATATTTTATTAAGAATATGTTTTCAAAATTCTTCACGTCCGCGTAAATTTTTTCACGCAGAAAAATCATCGTGCCGAAACCTCCCGATAAGATAAGACTTATACAACACGTGTATACCTAGCTATCACGAAGAGAGAGAAGGAAAATTGAAAAAAATTCACGTCATACTAAAAACCGCATAGTAAATGCAAAACCATGCACTCACGTGCATTACTGTTCTCGCTGTCAACATTCACCATATCTCAGTAGCTCTCCCTCACTGAAATTACTACAGAGATTTTCCTTTTATGTCTCCCACAACAGCCAAATCGTTGCGGATACTAGGAAAAATACAGCAGCAGAAACATTCAATTAAATTGCCCTTTTTTTTATTCAGCGAGGGGGAATGAAAAATCGCGGAGGAGAGAGGGGTGTATGCATAATTGGCTCGTGCGAATCTCGGGCAATAAATCCAGGGCTTTCGGAGTGGGTGATAGAGTGGGTGGTAGAGTGGGTAGTAGAGTGGGCGATAAAGTGGGTGGAAAGGGGGTGAGAGAAGAAAGGGAGAGGAATGGATGAGGGGGGGTAGGGGGCGATGAAGGGGTGACCGTCGCGGAGATAGCCATCATTCGGACCTCGGCCACACTCTGCCGTAGGGAAATCAAATACGCAACGATAACGCCTAGCTCCCGGACGAATTAAACTCGTATATTCACTGGATATGCCTCGGTGTAGCCACCTTCGTTCGTCAACCCCATCGGTCGTCCGCGTAATTGCCTCGACCACCAATGCAGAGGATATCACTCACCAGCTCTTCGGTTTTACACTTTAACACTGGGCTTTTAAATTACCGAGACTGATAGAGGTGATGAAAGGGTACTCCGGCCTTTTCAGATTAGTCGACGATCGGAGGAGAATCTAATTCAACCAGGAAAAGGTTAAACCACGCAAGTTCCTTCGTGGTTTGGTTTTGGTTTGGATTTTAATACTGGACCAATTGCCTATTCTCAATGTTGTCATCAGTTTGGATCCATCGATCGAACCAACTTTTGAATATCGCCGATAATGATTTAATAATACGCGATGAATTTGAATGATTATGAGAATAATTAATAATTAATCAGTAATGAAAATGAAGATTTAATGTGGAGTATATTCAGTGGTGGTTCTTCAGTGGATTTGGGATAGCCCGGGTGAAAGAAATTGTAAGCGAAATAATTTTTCCAAATTTTCAAAAAATTTCTGGAACACTTTTCTTTTTATTTATTTATTTTTTTTTAACAAAAAAATCGGAAAACAAAACAATTTTATTTTTGGGAGAGGTTTTGAAAATTTTTTTAGAAATTCGAATAGGAACATTTTTTTTATCATTTAGATGGCGTATTTTTAAAAAATATTGAAAAATTAAAAAAGTAAAAAAACAAAAAAATTTTCCGAAACATATTATGAATACATTTTTCTAAGCATTCTCCAAAAATACAATTGTTTCATTTCCCAATTTTTTTTTTGTTTAAAAAAAATCTTTCTCAAAAGTTTTCCAAACATTTTTTGAAAATTCGGAAAAACCATTCCAATGACAATTTTTTTACCCGGGAAGACCTGAGTATAAAAAATATGATATAGAATTTAGATATAGTATTATTTTGAAATTGATAAAATGAAAAGTCTCTCCGAGGAACCACAGGAAAAGCTCTAATAGAATAGCTCTCATGTTTACATAAGAAAAGCCCCCACCTCAAACACTGAGTGGATGATGCGGACTCTCCTCTTTTCACGTTGAAACATATTTTTCTGTTGGGTCTTTGTGCAAGTCCTTTGATACGTATGTTACCACTCGAAGGACTCGTCGAGTGGCCGACGAGAGTGGAGTACATCGTTGAAGGATTCCCATAAGTCGCACTAGGAGTCTGCGTTGCTCGAGGTTTACATTTTCCAAAGAGAAAACTCATACCCCCATGGCGGTTCTTACACTCTTTATCCTATAATATTTCATGCATATACTGCACAAACAACTCGAGTGGCCCTGAAATGAGATAAAACCAGTGGGAGGTGGATTGTCTTTTTTTTTTCTTCATCAAAATACGTGAAGTGTCTATTAACACCGGAAGAGCTCATTTCCATGGATTATTTTCGATCCTATTAAAATATTTAATTACATAATAATAATTCAATAAATACATTTTTTATAAATAAATTAGAAATCACGTCATATCACTTCTTCGAATAGAATTAAAATCACAACAGGAATAGAAGAATTAAAAGAAAAAAAATGATATAAAAATATTATTTAATCGTATTTAATGACATAAAAATATTTAACATAAAACATTTCGTTTCTCTCGTCCACGGAGTACCGTAAAGTAATAATGAAAGTGTAATTTTTAGATAATTTCTCTTTACGCCTGAACTTTAATGGAATGTACGGTTAAACTCATGAACTTTAGTTGTATTATTGCACATGGAAACATTAACCCATTTATCATAAATATTATTATAGCAGTGGAACTCACTGCGACTGGAAGACGATCCTCTGGCTTTTCTGACAATATTATGACTCTCTTGATGACTAGTCGAGGTAGATGAGGCCCTCACACCTCGATATTCCCTGGCAAACGGCAAAGTGGCGGCTGTGGAATTGAAATTGATAGCTCACGGCGACATCGATGGGTCGGAGGCATTTGATTTGTGGCGTGACTTTTCGATACCTACTCGATCTTTACACTGATGGGTAACCCCCACCTTCCCCTCTCCTATTCTATAAATGTCTTATCTAATCTTCCGGTGTCGATCGTAAAACCACCAGCCAATGGTCATTTTTCATGTCGCAGATGGAAAAACGGGAAAAATAATCGTCTTATCGCAGTATCGGTAGAGAGAACGCATTTTTCACGATTTTCTCGATTTTTCTCGAACGACCATTTTAAAAATTGATGTTCAATAATTTGTAGAATTTCAAATTGGCTCAGTCGAGTAGTTGAATTGTTGAATTTTTTTACAGCGATTTTCTGGTATCAATTTCAGGTTGAGTAATTTTTTTATTCAGCTATTTTTTCAATTTAATTTGAATGATTCATGGACCACTAGACGTTGCGATTCACCGGACGATTGTGCGTTCCCCAAGAGCGGAGTAAATACTCAGAAATAAAAGAAAAACTCGTGAAAATTCGAGCAATTTTACCTCGGGGATGAGTTTATCCTCGAATTGAGCATAAACGATGCTTTAAGAAGAGATTGATCGTGTGTAGTGAGGCGAAATACTATTCACGAAGGCTCGTACTCCATCGGGGGTTAGACAAAGACTTATGCGCTTTTTCAGTGTAGCATCCCAAGTTCTTGAGAATCCTGAGGACCCCTCAAAGGCTGAGTCTCTTCCAAGGAAATTGAATTCTCGTTTAATTAAGAATGGATTTGCTGTGGTACGTGGTATGAGACAAAACCGAGCCGCGATTGAGGGATTCTGGTGAAATTTTTCCATAGGTTCGCAAATGGGGTGAGGCCTAAGAAAATTTTCCCGGTTGACTGCCTCCCCTGCCAGGGCCAATCTCCGGTCAAATTCAATTTTTCCCTTGGAGAGATCAAAGGTCTCATTCCTCCGTTCTCCCAGACATGTACTGTCGCCACAGCAGAGAAAATGTGCATATGAAAAAAAAATATACCAGAGTATTCCGAGAATTACAATCGCCCATTTCAAATTGAAGTTGAATGAACATCGATAATAATAATTACAGTTATAATATATTATTGTTATTTTATATTGATAGAAATTTTTCTTCTTTTTGCGATAATAATCCATCGATAATAATAATTACAGTGATAATATATTATTGTTATTTCATATTGATAGAAATTTTTCTTCTTTTTGCGATAAATTTAATGGAGAGGTAATGACAGTTGTATTTTTGATATCTCTTCACCCTGGATGAGTCGAGCATACAATTCACCAATATTAAAAAATCTTTAATAATTCAGCGGTAGACATTTGTTGTCGAGAAAACATGCAATGGACTGGAAAGAGCATATTGACTTTTCTTTCATCTCCAAAAGGAGACGATAAAGATTTCATTGGTAAACTTCAGACATTGACTGTTCTCTCTTCCTCCTTCACCGGAAAAAGGGACACAGGAGGAAAAACAAGACAACAAAATGGACGCTGAAGGAGCAGACGTCTAGACTTGGCTCGTAGCCCCAACAAAGTCACACACACGAAGTCACGAGAAAATTTTAATATCGCTCTTTTGAGAATCGGGTCGATTCGTCACCTGCCCTCATCCAGCCCTCATCCAGCCCTCATCCAGCCCTCCCTGCGCGCAACTCCTGCGAGGAAAAACGATGGAGTACATTATAAAGATGAAAGTATCCTGAGATAAAGGAAAATGTAAAATGAGGGGGAGAAAAAAGTTTGAAAAAAAAAGGAGAAAAAAGCCGAAGGAGTAAACGAGATAAAGGCAAGAAAAGAAATTCGCAGTGACCCAGGAGACAAAGGAGAAAGGAGCGGCGAATGGAGAGAGGTGGAGGAATAAAAAATGGGTTGAGAAAAAAAAAACATTCTCTAACGAAAGACTGAACTCGATTGCGCTATCGCATGGAGTTGAAGCGAGGGCCGCTCATTGGTGGCTTTGAAATATTTATTTATATATATATTTTTTTCTTTCATTTTCATCTCTCAATGCCAAAATGAAGAGACGAGAAATCGCTGAGAGTTGGCGAGCGCAATAAACCAGAGCACAAATCGCTTCTCATCCCTCCATATAGTCATCCCTTTTGAATTCACTCACTGGGTCCCTCCTCCTATTCTTGGCCCTCCTTCATCCATCAAGCGCGAAACACGGACGTATTTCACCAACTTAAAACCGCAAGGGCCATCTTTTCTCTCCCACGTACCTCTTTTCAGAGTTCTCGCAAAACGACCACCAGTTTTTCGTGGTTATTTCTCCTTTTTGGTCTGTGGAGGGGAGTCTTCTTTTCATATTCGTCGCGTCCACCCGCGCACATCCGGTCTTACTTTGGATAGCACGTAGCACACCGGTGAATACCGTCTGGTGAATTGCATTGTCGTCACACCTGCGTGTGTCTACCCAACCGGGGACAAAGACGTCAATGCTTCACTGGGGCAAGGTGGAATAGACTCAGGCGTGAGACGCGTCAAACGATTCATTTTGGCCCACTGTCAAAGCATCCACCACCTCGCACACTCAAAGGGTTTTTTTTTTTTTCAAAATGCAAAATCCTTGGATTTCACGTGGAAAAATAATGGCCGGCATGGCGAGAATTCTTCGAGGAATATTATCGGCAGAGCAATGCGCGAAAAGAATTACGCAACTTACGTTTACTCAATGATTTTAGGGAATTCATCAGGGAAATTCTGATCGTTCGCTTCGAAATTGTTATTACGTTGTGGTAAAAACGAAATTTCATGAAAAAATGGTGGTACGATAATTTAATTCAATCCTCGCACTATAACGGTTCTTCAAACCGCCAATAGTAAAAAACTATGGCCCCGCCAATGCCACTCACCCCTTGAAAATAAAATTCGCCATTTTTTCACGTCGTCCATAGGTACACGATCGTAAAAAACGAGGCCCCAAAATCCCCGAAAAACCAATAAATGTTTTTTACGAACTTGAGAGCAATTTTAGGTTCACAGCTGCAGTATTTTTGGTGATTTTTATGATCCGCCATTTTTCACACCTGTAGTGGCTCCCTCCCACCACCCCCTGAAACAATGTAAAGACAAATATCACTGGGGCAAAAAAAAAAAATAAAACCACTGCCAAGTTTTATTATTTACTCGACTCAATGATACGCCTGTTTGGAAATTGTTTCAGTTATGTGGAGCAGACGTTTGAAAATTTAATGAAATTACGTACGTGAAGTATGGATCGATTGTAGGAAGCCCCGGGTCATTGTGGAGAACGAGGTAGTGCGGTAAATATGAACGTGAACGACTTTTCCGAGCTTTTTATATTTTCAAGACCTTCGAGGGGGTGGCGGAAATTTATCAAGAAAATCCAGCCAAAGACACCTCGACGGAGGGCTTTTCGCGTAAAAAATAATGTCAACGAGTGCTCTCGATATCTTCTTCTTTTTTTTCTTTCATTTTTTTTTTTGAGCGATGGGGAAAACAAACAAGCCCCGGCAATCCGGTGGTGAATATGCAAACGCAGGTGGGCGGTGAAATGAAACCCAAATGGTTTTGGAAACGGTGAGGGGTAATATAATGTAGGAAACCTGTTTTCATATCGTTTAATTGTGCAGAAGCTCTGCACACCGGTGGAGCTGGGGCCGCCCACCCCTTTTCGATTAAAATTTTTGATTAAAATAACACAGGGGGGGCTTATGATCAGCTGACGTGGCAATTAAATCAGATATTTCGGGGCTCAGGGCAGAAATATTAGTGATGGATCATTGCAGACTGGTGTTGCGGATTTTTGTGACAGCTGTGGATGATGTGGATGGAAATTTTTGGAAATATTTCCTTTTCTCTGTAGAAATTAAAAATCATCGGCTTGTGACAGAAATTAGGGCATCATGAGACGAAACTGGTAAATAAAATTGCATCGAGAATGGAATAATCGCTTCGATAAACCGCGAATTTTTCTGAAGGAGAAAAGTTCTTAATGTTCTTACCTTGGATATTCGCTTTGTATAAATAGATAATTGAATTAGTTTAAACTCTGGGAAACGTTTTTTCACGTGACCTGCAGTGGACTTCTGGGAAAGCCCTGACTTACACACCAATTTATCGCCCTAAAATCAGACATTTAGCAGGAAAAAAAGATTATTAATTCATCTACAAGTGAATTACGTTCAATAAATGGTGTAATTTACGCGCTTCAATTTTTGACTCAAACTTTTCCTGAGAATTGAAAATTTAAATAGAAATTAAAAAGGAAAAAATGGCGAAATGATTTTTCGGTTGACAGGAGTATTCGCCGAGGTCAGTATCCGGTTGTTAATTATTAGGATAAAATGCGGATGGAAAAAGCAGAGGTCTAGCGACTTGATAACTGCGCACTTCCTACGGGCGCCATTAAAAGGCTGTGTTCTCACGGGCCGTTAATATGGCGCGAATGTTTATACCGTTCTTGTGCTATTTAAAACGCTCTGGCGGAAGGAAGGAAAACGGGCGGGAGGTTGTGGCAACATTAATAGAGAAAAAGAAAATCGTTTGAGCAGAACCAGGGGCGGGTATATCCGCGGCTCTCTAACCCGGAATTCCTTCGGCGAAATCTGAAACTGTACGCGACGCACTAAATCCTACCCTCCTCTGGCCACGAAGGGGAATCTGTAAATGGAATGGAATTCAATAGTTTAATGGACTCCGATGAATACGTTTACCCGAATTGTTCGTAATAATTGACTGCACCCTCGACGAGAGGAAATTGTGTCAATTGAGGGTAACGAGTGATGCTCTCGATGGAAATTTAAATTTCAATTCATTTCTATCCCCAGAAAATTTATTGAAAAATTTATAACAATTTTATAGTAGGATTTATAGGTTTTATTTGAATTTGGATGGACGATTTTGAAGAATAGAAATTAATTTATTCTTTCGTGTTTTATTTTTGTTTAAAAATTAAATGTAACGAAACGACACTTTTAATTTTCACTCGCCACTCTTTGCAAACACCCGGGGCGAGACATTGCCAGTCTGGTTTATTCCCCATTCCGACATTTGCAAATACAGCTG